CCACAAATGAGCTCACACTGAATAATGGGCAACCAAAAACAGGACTCGGGTTTCTCCTATCAATGATCTCTCCCATTCAAGCCATTTGCCTCAGTACAATCTTTCATCCCTGTTGAAAACTCAACATTCAGCACTGCTGCAAGTCACCTAATATACATATACAGCAAATAAAATAAATAATCCAATGCACATAAATATTCTGCAGGTTTTTTTTTTCTCCTTACCAATGCTGATCCTGCTTGGAATTCTCCTTTCATAGTTTACATCTTCAGATTTACTCAAATCTAATTGTATTTATAGTTACTAATCTTAGTTCTATTTGCATCTATAAGTACATGACCTACTAATAATTCTATATCAGTTTGAGACTGGGAGGGCAGCTGCTATGCAAGGCAGCTGATTAAACCAGACAACCAGAATAAACTTGTGTGAGCTACTCCATCAATCAATCAATCATCAGTGGTACCTACACTGCCTGAGCCACCACTGCATCATCATGACCAATGGGGAGGTTGTAGCTTTCTCAAACTGAACCTGTGTGCGGTCTCTAGCAGAGCTCTGCAATAGTTTTCAAAAATGTATCAAATTATGGTGCAAAAATATTAAAATATTTTCCACATTTAAAGCCTGTAACAACACTGTCCACAATTCAAAAGAGGGGACTTTAGGGATAGCAGACTTCATTGTGTGGCTATATTTTTTTCGAGAGTACCATCTAGCACTATCCCTCTGGATATAGAGTACAATACACTCCAACCCTTGGAGATCCAGTTTCTAAAAGAGGACACAGATCGGCCCACCTGCAAATCCTCACTCATGTGCCAAACCATTGACCATGCACCAGCATTTAAAATGGTGGACTAGAATGGTCTTCTGTTTTCCAGTGCTTCTACCCCATCCTATTTAATGGCTCAAGCTGTTCCATGCATGAGTTACAAGGTCCACACTTTGGGAAACATGTTCAGAACCCATTTGTGAATAAACATGGAAAGGTTTGCAGATTACAGATATACTTGTGATCTGTAATTACACATTGTCGGTAATTCCAACCCATGGAAACAAATGGTCACATTTGAGTCTGCTAATCATTTTATATGAAATGAGGAAGGTGGTACCATTCTTTTTAGCAGGCGGTGGGCTCAACCAAGTGGGATTCCACTCATTTTGTACTTCAGTTTGAAGAGTCAGTCTATACATGAGTGACACTGTTGTAGGTTGATTCTGGCAAGTTGAATCCTACTTTGGCTTCTTACTGCTCTCCAGGAATGTGAGCTGCCTGCCACTGTTTCATGTTACTGCGCATCTTGATATGGTGCTGTGTTATAAATCCTCCTGCAGCGTTCCTGAGAAAATAAATCAAGTATCCAGCAGGTAGAGTGGGATTGTGACAAAATCATCACAGCAACCATGTGGACATCTCTCCATCAGAGGTACTGGGAAAATAAACCACTGAATGAATTTGTAAGTGTGTACCAAAAGCATAAAAATGGGCTAGGAGTGGACTGATCCTTTAAACATCGGACATTCCTGCACATAACCTACGAAGGTGCCAAGACCATAACACATGCTGGCTAAATGTAAATTTATTGGAAAGGTCATGATAGAGCTGAAATTAATCCTTCAGGATCAAAACTTGTTCAACTGGGCATCAGCTGGCAGTGGAAGACGCTGTCCAGGAAGTCACATTAATGATGTAATTAATTTCTACTCTGACGGTAATGGCTGAGTGCTAACAAACATTTACATTCTGAGTCTCAGAGGATTTACAGCACTGAAATTTCCAGGGTGGAAGATTAGAGGACTCTGTGAAGCCTGCAAGGTTTATGGAGAGAAAAGTCATTAACTCAATGTGCTATGACCATATATAGCACATGGAAGAAACGGAATGAAAAATATATTTGTACATAACAGGTCTGATTTACCAAGGAGAGACATCAATTATGCACATGTTAAAAGTGGCACATTAAGCAATATTTTCACATAATATTGCTAGGTTCTTCAAAATGGGGAAGTTCCAATCGTTCTTAACATCTGCCATATTTGCTTTGCAGTTTCCCATGGCTTTAGAGGAATTTTTGTGACCGGGCAAAGTCACAATCTTTTGTTAGTCCATGGTGGAGAGCGCTGTAGAAGTTTGACTTTTTCAGAAATGGTGGGGGGCAGAGGATCCGTTATTTTGCATAATATATATTTAATTTAAAGTGGTCCTAGAGGCTGAAGTTTTTTTTTACCTTCATGCATTCTATGCATGAAGGTAAAAAAAAATTCTGTATCCAGCCCCCCCCCCTTATATTTACCTGAGCCCCAAAAAGATCCAGTGCTCTGCATGAGAGCAGCGGCTCTCTTTGCTCTGTCCGTCCTCACAGGGCAGATCCATAGCAGCAGGAGCCATTGGCTCACACTGCTAAACTCGGTGAGGAGGGAGCGGGGGGTAGGGGCAGGAGCGAACCCGCAGGAGTGTCCCCATAGGAAGCACCTTCATATGAGGGCACTGGATGAAGAGGAGGAACCAGAAGCGCCAGCAGGGGACCCAAGAAGAGGAGGATTGGGGCTGCTCTGTGCAAAACCAGAGCTAGTAAGTATGACATGTTTTTATTTTAAAGAAATTACCTTTAGAAACACTTTAAGTTCTAACTGCTTTGTTAAAGGCAGCTAAAATGGGGTTCTTAAAAGTTTGATGCAAAGTTGCAGCAGCTGATTCACGAATTACCCCGAATTTCAAAACTGTCAAGTTAGTTCCGAAATGCACTATTTTCTGTGTAATAAACTTGTTTTCAGAGCAGTTTCTCTACCAGTCCATGTTGCAGTAGACTAAATGGCTGTACATGCATCCTAATGATGAGACTCTGATCCATTCAGCAAGAGCTGCCACTTTGGAACCCATGAGCTGCTTCTTCGGCCTCCAGCAAGATCTTAAAGTGGAATGAAACCCATTGCTTTAACAGTTCTACAAAATCATGCCGTGAATGTTAACTTTTACAGTTGCATGTGCGCTCAACAAAACGGTCAAGCCATAAAATAGCTAGTGTCATAACTGATCATATGCAGCACCAAGGCAATTGCAATTCAAGCAGAGGCTACAATGGCAGTTTACTTGGCTGTAAAGGAGAAAAAGGTTTAGTTCTGCTTTAACAGAAAGAAGAAGGCTGCAGACAACATGATGTGGAGTCCCATATTCTAGTTGCTTGCAGACTGCAGTCAGTGACCCTAAAGGATCTTCACTGAAATTGCAATTATACTTTATTGTTCTCTGGGTGTTTAAAGCGAATACATGTTGAAGAACAGCATTTGAAATGCACCTATTCCAGTTTAGGAAATAAGTCATTACGGTTTATGTAGTGATAACGGATTTGTGGACTTGGGAGCCAGAATTGCACATGACAAGCATAGTTCAGTGTCCCTAAATTTCTACTGTCTGGTGATATTCTTGATGCAGAAGGATGACTAAACCCAGAGCCTGATTTAGCACTGGACAAAGTAGGCATGTGTCTATAGGTGGAAGAGACAAAGACAGCTTTTCGGTGTATAATTATTGGACACACATTTTTTTTCCCCATTATCAGTAAGAAGGTTATCTCGTAAAAGTTTATATTTACTGCTTCACGTTCAGCTGTGGTCAAATGTTTTGAGAATGACCCAAATATTAATTTTCATAAACTCTGCTGCTTCAGTGTTTTTAGATCTTTTTGTCATATGTTACTATGTTATACTGAAGTATAATTACAAGTATTTCATAAGCGTCAAAGGCTTTTATTGACAATTACATTACGTTTATGGTGATTGTAGCCATATTAGTGCACTTGCGACAGAAACAATTCAGTACTGTCCGTGATACTTTTTTTATTTGCACTAGCATACAATTTTGAGGACAAGCTTTCGGGGAGTGTCCCCTTCTTCAAGGTCCAAGCAGTACTGCTTGGACCTTGAAGAAGGGGACACTCCCCGAAAGCTTGTCCATTAAGTTTATGCAAATAGTCAATATTCGCAGTGTTGACCCTTCTTTTTCAAGACCTCTGCAATTCGCCCTGGCATGCTGTCAATCAACTTCTGGGCCACATTCTGATTGATGGCATTCTTGCACAATCAATGCTTGGAGTTTGTCAGAATTTGTGGGGTTTTATTTGTTCACCTGTCTCTTGAGGATTGAGCACAAGTTCTCAATGGGATTAAGTTCTGGGGGTTTCCTGACTATGGACCCAAAATTGCGATGTTTTGTTCCCCAAGCCACTTAGTTATCTCTTTTGCCTTATGGCAAGGTGCTCCATCATGCTAGAAAAGGCATTGTTCATCACCAAACTGTTCTTGGATGGTTGGGAGAAGTTGCTCTCAGAGGTTTTTTTGTACCATTCTTTATTCATGGCTGTGTTCTTAAGCAAAATTCTGAGTGAGCCTTCTCCCTTGGCTGAGAAGCAACCCCAGATATGAATGGTCTCAGGATGCTTTACTCTTGGCATGACAAAAAGACTGATGGTAGTGCTTACCTTTTCTCCTCAAGGTTTATTCCGGATGCCCCAAACAACCGGAAAGGGGATTCATCAGAGAAAATGATTTTACCCCAGTCCTCAGCAGTCCAATCCCTGTACCTTTTGCCGAATATCAGTCTGTTCTCAATGTTTTTCCTGGAGAGAAGTGGCTTCTTTGCTGCCCTTCTTGACAGCAGGCCATCTTCTCAAAAGTATTTGCCTCACTGTGCATGCAGATGGACTCACACCTGCCTGCTGCCACTCCTGAGCAAGATCTATACTGATGGTGCTTCAATCTCACAGCTGAATCAACTTTAGGCGATGCTCCTGGCGCTTACTGGACTTTCTTGGGCACCCTGAAGCCTTCTTCACAACAATCGAAAACTTCAAGGTGAGAGGTTCAATTGTCCAAAAAAAAAAAAAAAATCTTAGTAGCAGCAATATCCTTGTCTGTAAATCCCTTTTTGTGGAAAGCAATGAAGACTGCACGTATTTCCTTGCAGGTAAATTAAAGTGTTACTAAACCCAGGACCCTGCATTCACTAGGTTTGGTCTCCCACAGTACACAGAACATGGAAGAAGTGCAAAATATTTTAATAAATATATACTGCTAAATACCTTTTCTCATCAGCAGCCTTGTGACTTTTATAAGTGTCCAGCAGAGCACTAGTTAAAGCTTGTAGGAGGAGTTTTCTTTCTGCTCTAGGAGGTTGCAGAACCCCTGACCTCTGTCTGGACAGTGCTGATTGGCCCTGTGCTGATCACATGCACTCTAAGAAAAAAACAAAAAAAAAAAAAACACCTCTCCAGCAATACAAACCAAACTGAGAATGTGCAGAGAGCGTCCACACGATATGTCTTATCAGGAGATAAGGAGGGGACACTGGAAGAATGGGAGGATCAGAGAAGTCAGGATCAAACAGACTTTTTACATAATGCAGAGGGTTAACTTCTTAGGTTCCACAGTGAGTATAAGAAGCATGCTTTACTGCATATACAGACTGATTTTACTGTTGTGGGTTTAGTAACACATTAACCGGTTCCCGCCTGGCCAATAGCACAAAGGCGGCCGGGCGAGCAGCTCGGCCCTCCGGGTGGACGCCATATGGTGTCCTTTCAGGCATGCGCAGTTTCACCAATCACAGCAAGTCACATGACAGGCGTATACAATGGATGGCTTCCTTTCATGCCATCCATTATATACTAGTGTGTCTAGCTGTGAATGGTCACAGCGATCACATGCACAAGCTGGGCTAATCACAGCCCAGCTGTGTCATGTGATTAGCCATGGCCAAATCACAACTAAGCACAAAAAACAAAACAAAAAAAAAAACCCTGAATGAATCAATGTCATTCAGGTAAATGCTTGTTTATAGCAAAGTAAATCTTTGCTATAAGCAAATTGTGTAAAAAAAAAAAAAAAGAAAATACTGATCACTTCCCCAAAGTAGCACAATGTTCCTATAGTAACGTTATACTACTTTGGTCATAGTGAAATATGAAAAAAAAACCTTAAAAAAAAAAAAAAACATTTAATAAAAAATTAAAACTAACAAAAAAAAATAAAAAAAATTATAATTTTTCTCTTTTTCTTACTGTCACCAGTCAGTGTCCCTGATCACCGCCATGCCAATTATATGACACTGTACTGCACTGGTGACAGTATGTAAAAAAAAAAATAGTGAAAATAATTTAAATGTTTTAATTTTCCAAAAAATTCTGACACAAAATTACAACTTCAAAAAACTCGCCATGCCTGTTATGAAATTTGTCTGTCTACTTTGCAAAAAGTGGTCATTTGGGATAGATTTGTACTGTTCTGACATTGTTGGACCTCAAGAAATTAGATTGGCCGTCAGTACTTCAGGATTGATCAATATTCAGATATATCCCATAGTTTGTGAACTCTATAACTTTCCTACAGACTAAATAATAAATACTAATTTGAGTTATTTTCACGAAAGACATGTAGCAGAATACATCTTGGCCTAAATTTATGAAGAACAATTATTTATTTGCAAACTTTGATAACAGAAACAAAGAAAAAATAGTTTTTTTTCTTCAAAATGTTCAGTCTTTTCTTGTTAATTTAACAAAAAATAAAAACCCCAGTGTTGATTAAATACCACCAAAAGCTCTAATTGTGTGAAGAAAATGATAAAATTTTAATTTGGGTACAATGTTGCATGACCGCGCAATTGTCATTAAAAGTGTGAGAGCGCTGAAACCTGAAAAATGACCTGGGCAAGAAGGGGGTAAAAGTGCCCGGTATGGAAGCGGTTAATATTTGTGTCATTTTAAAAACGTTTGGCCAGGACGGTACACAAAAACACACAAAGAAGAACAACTGCATTTAGTTCAACAGACACTTTTAAAAAAGATCAAGAAACCACCTATTCCATAATGCATCCTGATCAATAAAACTATACAAGAAAAGTACAAAAGTAAAGTGCCACATCTTCTCCATGTTACCCCAAATCCTTATCCCAGCCCTACGGAAGAAGGTCCATCTGCCAATCATTGGTGAAAGGATTAACAAAGTTAATACTATTATGGGGGCTGAACATTGCTGCTCTTCTCAGAAAGATCAGTATGAAAATATTTACAATTTGGTCAATAAGGATACACCACTAAAGTGAAAAGGTCCTCAAAACTACAAAATCACCTCTGATCAAAACACAAAACTGAAGCACCTAACCTCCAGACAGCTCCATGGAAGAACCACCATCCTTCTTTCTATTCAATATGATCAGCCTAGGTATTATTATTATTACTATACAATATAGCACAACAAGTGTATACTGATCTAGCGACCTAACCTCCAGATCAACCCTTCCTTTGCCCCCCATTTTGTCAGTAAGCAATCTTCAACCATGGTCTTCAACCAATTCAATACTGACCAAAACCCCACAGCTTCTAGTTCGAAGATTTTTTGGTTAACTTGGTTTATCCTTTATATGCCAATATATATATCATATACAGTGGGGCAAAAAAGTATTTAGTCAGCCACCAATTGTGCAGTTCTCCCACTTAAAAAGATGAGAGAGGCCTGTAATTGGCAACATAGGTAGACCTCAACTATGAGTGATTTAAGAGAAAAAAAATCCAGACAATCACATTGTTTGGAAAGAATTTATTTGCAAATTATGGTGGAAAATAAGTATTAATATCAAAAGATCTAGCGAGAGGTCAAACGTTCTACTGATCAACATTGTTGCTGGTATGTTGGCCCATTCCTCCATGCAGATCTCCTCTAGCGCAGTGATGCCCCCCATTTTTTGGGCAACAGTAAGCAATCTTCAAAAGGTTTTCAATGGTCTAAAAATGCTTCTTACAACCCAAAGTTCAAAGACACCACTGAAGGAGGTTTGCAAAACCCCACCCTCGCTTCTAGTTCGAACATGATTTTTTGCGTTAAACAGCCCCAAAGGTTTACCTCCCCCATCCTTTACATGCCAAATATATATTGAATGAACTTTTGATATTGACCAAATACTTATTTTCCACCATAATTTGCAAATAAATTCTTTCCAAATCAGCCAATGTGATTGTCTGGATTTTTTTTCTCATTTTGTCTCTCATTGTTGAGGTCTACCTATGATGCCAATTACAGGCCTCTCTCATCTTTTTAAGTGGGAGAACTTGCACAATTGGTGGCTAACTAAATACTTTTTTGCCCCACTGTATGATACATGCTCTGTATCGAAGTGTTTACCATAAGTGTAAACTGGTGATACTGACTGTCAATTATGTCTCACTTAGACTTGGAATGATACATGTTCGAGTACTGATAGATGTATTTACTTATCAAATAAAGGAATAAAACATGCTTGCAAAGTGCAGAACAGCAACCGAGCAGAAAGCACTGACCAGATTACATTAATCAGAGATTGGCAGCCATGACATACTGCAATTCTTGGTCTCGCTCTGTAACCCTAATTATGTCAAAGGACACCAGTCTATACTTCCCAAAGGAAGTAGCATTCAATTACTGTATGGATTACGCTAGCTATTTTAAAAGCATAACTAGATCTACTAATACTTCATGACACCACTAATGAAAGGTCGTTAGAGTTAAACTACACCCCCCCCCACCCTGAACATCCTGAGATGTCTTACTGATTTTGTTAGTTACATTGTTATTACCTACACAGTGCAAACGGCACATACACAAACATAATATGAATTATGAAGAAAACTACCTAATGCAAAGAACAGCAGTTTGTGTAGTTGGTAGGAACCGTTTCAAGTACAGAGACTATTACCTATTACACAAGATGAGCAAATCAGACCAAAAATACCACTTTCAAATTGGTTGTCCGATAATCTGATTGTTTGTGCACAGCTTTCCGGAGCCAATCACGACAGTTTATGCAAAATTAAGCAAAGGAACAGGCATGAAAATTGTTCTTGTAGGATACCAGAATGAACGAATCGGTAAAGTATTCATCCGGAAAAAATTAAGTGACCACGACCACGCATGCTTAGAAACGAAAGAAAACATTGCAATACAATACATCACTTCCAAAGTTGTATCCTGTTGTACGAGAATTTTTCTAACTTAAGTAACCTCTAGCATGCAAGGAAAAAAGGATGATCATTTGTCCGATATTCTCATTGTCTGTACGAGGCTTATGGGTGGGATGCCCATGTAGTATGCAGTATTGCACCATGAATGAACATTTATACAGACCGTGGTGAGAACATGGCAGCTCCAAAATGAAAAGACTGATAATTTGGATAGAAATATTAAACTGGCAATTTTAATCTCTACATGTGTTGTGGCAGTGTTTTGCGCCAGCTACAACACTGCAATGAACGGAGGAGGAACTTCATAGGTACTTCTATCAAACTTTCACACTAGATAGACAAAAAAAACCCCAAAAGACTCCACAACATCCACTACAATCTACTTTGCCTTTAACAGAGGATGGCTACAGGGAAACCAAGACGTAAGGAGTCTAGGTGAAAACAGTGGTCATAAATGCCATCAATTTTATTGTACTCTTCCAAAATGAGCAGCTGAGGAACAGATATTTTAGTGAAGTAAAAAGTAATTATATAATATATATATATATATATATATATATAATTAGAGACTCTCTAAACTCCTGCTTGAATAAATGTCATGTTAGACACAACACTCCATTAAAAAAGGAGAATTTTATTGTTGCATGTCCCCTCTGCATATATATAAATAAATAGAATTCTCCTTTTTTAATGGAATGTTGTGTCTAATATGACATTTATTCAAGCAGGAGTTTAGAGAGACTCTACAAGGCCCTTGATCTGAACTATTTTATGTTCTCTTAGAAAATCATACTCTTAGTAAATCATTGGATGGGGAATTCTATCTGGTGAAATGTGCAGTTGTTTGATACTTTTAAAGGATGGATTTTTTAAATCATTCTGTAAGTAATGAAATTCCCAAACCTTTTCCTAGCTAGTAGTGGCATCAATTCCTTGTAGACTTTCTGTGGTGGCATCTCAAAATGTTTCAGGTATTGGGTAGCAATCTTTGCGACAGCAAATGGTGTGGACATAATTCTACTAGCCGCTGTTGATTAAAAATATATTTTTTGGTGCATCATACATCTGCCCCACAAAGCCACATGTTTAGTAAAAATAATCCAAATATTTTTTAATACAAAACTACAGCTGGCTGGGCTGGTGTTTTAATGGGTTCTATGTGACTCTGCAACTTCATGAAAAAAATGCCGGATAACACCAAGCAGCTTTTTTTTTTTTTTTTTTTAAAGTGTATTTGTGAGTCAAATACAAGAGTAGCCATACCAACTGTCTACCTTATCCAAGGAATGTAAACCGAAGACTAAAAAAAGACCCAAACATTGAGAATGTTCAACAATCTTGAACTTGGTGTTTATAAAACTTCTTTTGTTTTGCAAATGTTATTTCCAAAACAGATATGCTGGCAAAGAGATGTCTAAAAAAATTAAAGTCTCAGTCCACATAAAACCAGTATTTCAGATTCTGGTAGATGCAGGAATGTTAATTCATGGCACGG